CGAGAGCGGGGCGGGGTCGGCGGGGGGGGGGGGGGGGGGGGAGCAATTGCTGGAAACACCAGGCTTGCCGAATGAACAAGAAGCCGTGCAGATAACAGGGTAATTAAAAAACCTGCCCTTTTCATTAAAATTGAAATGTGATTACTTGCACGCCAGAGCCTTCGCCAATTAGTGCAAGGCTGAATGTATGAACGAGTTCCGCGTTCTGGTAAAGATGCTAATGTAACTGCTGTCTTTAAAAGATAGAGGTAGTTTTCCCAGCAATTTCATTGGCAAATTTTTTAGCAGTATTTTATAGTGAGTATTTCTGGGGATAGGAGTCCCGTTCCTTCATTTATTAAAAAGCTGAACTCTCAGAGATCCCACTGCCTCTCTAGAGAGGAAAAGATAGACATGAATTAACCAGAATATGGTAGGGAACAAAATCCTCGCGTTCAGAGAAAAATGGCTATTTGAGAAGTCTCTGTTTTTGTAAAATCTGGCCCTTGTGTAAAATTCAGTGGCCCTTTTGGATTACATGCTTACTGGTAGTTCACTTCTGTGGCACATTTTTAGATTCATTAGTTTTCACTATTACCCTTTCTTTTGATAGAAAGCTTTTTTTTAAAAATCTCTGCTCATGTAACAACATTAGTTTACTTGAAAAGTCCTCCAGTGCAGTGTTAGAACAGCACTATCTATTTCAGATTGGTAGACTGTGATCAATTTTAATTAAAACTTTAATTACATTTCACCTCTCCATTCAAACAAAGCATAAAATAGTCTGGGCTGATGTTGCTCTCAAGGAAAAATAAGAAAATATGTTCTTAATCTTCGTTATGTTTTAGTCCTGCCTTTTAATTAAAGGCTGAATCCTCCTCCTGTTGGACTCAAAAGGAGTTTTGCCATAAACTTGTGTGATGTAGAACTGCAGTATTTGATTGTTTTTCGAGGTTGCCCTGTCTTCTTGGCATACCTGTCCAAAGAGTTACACCGTGGACTTTTCACCTTTTGAGAAATCACTCATGTTCTGGAAGGTCTCGCCGTTGAGCTCACATCAGCTGTGTCATCGGACAACATACACTTCAGGCTCTTAGGGCATTACGTAACCTCACAACTGCATAACAAATGTCAGTAACATCCCCGTTGCTTTCGTTGCTTTCAGTCCCCTCTTACTGTACCGTACGTACAGTCCCCTAGCGTGATCTACCAAAAGAATCACGGTTGATATTGTGATATTTGTATAGTACCAACAAGGTTAAAAAAAAAAAAAAAGAAAAGAAAAGAAATCAGCCCTGGGCAGAATGGTGAGGCAGAGTATAGCGGTGGGTAAGGGTAGCATGGGATGGGGTGGCATGGACTGGAGCAGGGCGGAGAAGAACGGCACAGAACAGAAGGCTGCAGCTGCAGCTCCAGGAACGCCGCCGGCAGGGCTGGAAGCGGTGCAGTGAAGCTGGCTCTGGTGCTGTTTGCAGAAGGAGCCGCGCGTTCCTCGGGGCGCGACCCTCCTGCCGACTGCCGCGCGTCGGTGGTGCTCCGGCGCCCTGGCGCGCCTCGCCTTCCTGCCCGCTCGTGTTGCGCGCGCTCTCGAGGGCGTGGGAAACGGCCCCCGCGCCACGCTGCCGCCGCTCCGTTCGTTTTGCTCTTTTCAGTGGGCTGGGATGGGGAGGCCCTCTAGGCTCTTCTTTCTCTCTCTTCTCTCAAGGTACCTGCGGGCAGGATCTAAATCTAACAGTACAGATGACTTTTAACAAACACGTGAATATAGTGAACTTTATACTGTGGGAGCTCCCAAGATTGTTTGCTTTTGAAGCTGTTCTGATTTTATTTTTCAGTCTTGGAATTCTAATTTTTATGTCTGCTTGCAATGTGTATATATGCTTTTTCTGTACTATATCTGTGTTTCATATTTGTATTTTAGGGATTCAGTCCTGTACATTTCTTAGATTCCTGTGGATTTTCAGAAGTTTGTGTCAGTGAGGCAAATAAGGCAGGCCAGTCTATGCGGGATAACTCTAACCGTGAATTAAACAGCGACATACACTAACCAAAATCAGAGTTATGAAATATGATTGATACATTGGTTTTTAAAGTAGTTAGAATGGAAACACATAATGCTCAGCAGGAGAGACTGTGCTTCTTGCCGTGATGTAAAATATTTTCAGCACTGATCTTGGTTGTTTTTTTTTTTTTTTAAATGCATGTTGTTTCGCCAGTGTGGATTGGGCTTAAGTACTCTTTGTCTTTACTTTGTCTGTAGAACTGTCTAAAGAGATACTTGTTTCAGAGCTTTTTTATTGCCAGTGCATTCTGCCCTTTCCTTTAATTTTGTCTTACACTAACAGAGAACTGCGTGGACTTCCTGCATTACTCCCCAAGCGTACTTTTGGCTCAGACTTTATAGTAAGGAGCCTAGATCATTTCACCTGTCCCCCATTCTCTTGCAGGTGCGTATTACCTGCATTTTGTGTGCCTCTTGCCATCCTGTCCATCCTCTGCCATTTTCTTGTTTCCTTTGGAGTGGGATTTGGTTCCTTCTCTTGATTTTTGTGTGCCTTAGCTCTAGCTGTGGTTGTCTTCTCTGCTTACCTTTTCTCTTACCTTTTCTCTTTTTATCTTCTTCACTGTTTATTTCTCTTAATCCTTGGGAAAGATCATGACTTCTACGGATTCTCTGTGTGGCATCACTAAGAGTGTTGCCTGATACAAACATACAGTATAAATAGGAAAATGCTATGAGCGTGTGAGCTGTGAGGATCCAGATGGGCTTCCGTTGCAGGGAGGCGCTTTCTCAGCTTAGTTCCAACTCTTGTCTTTAGTCGTAGAAAGAAGATGTCTTATATTTTGAAATTTTATACTATTGCTTTGAGAGTACAAACCTTTTCAAAGACATCATGAAACAGATGATGAAAAGGATAGCACGTTACCCTTATTACTCTTTAAGTTATGATGTACGTTGCTAGGAGTGTGTGTGTGTGTGTGTGTGTGTGTGTAAAAATTTATCTTGTAAGCTTTATGGGGACATTATCAACAGGATTTCTGCTCTCAGGAACTTCTCTACATTTTTATATGAATATGACCCAAAGAACAATAATACACCTGTAGGAAATTGAGGCAGATTATTGGAGAAGATCTCATAGCTGGATATTGCAGAAGCAATTAATTTTAAGAAGACAGGAGAAGGAGAAGGAGAAGATAGGAACGACTTGACACTCACCTTCAGTGATGTATTTATAAAAACATCTAGCTGTTTTTCTTCATGATTGTTCCTCTGAGGAGGATGAAGAACAAAGTGTATTTTCCAAAATAAATTGTAAAACCACAATGAATTAAAAATACATACTGTTCATTGAAAGTGAGATGAGAAATGCCTGGTTTTATTGACCTAAGAATGATGTATTCTGAAGTTCTAATATCAAGGACAAAAGAAGTGTTCTGGATCTTATTGAAGGTGTTCTGCGTCGAACAAACCCCGTTGA